CACACACACACACACACACACACACACACACACACACACACACACACTCTTACAACAGATCTCTAGATCTCTACAAAGAGAATCTGAATCTGTAGACTAATCAGAGTTTTAGATCACATTCATACTGATGGGACACATTGGAGGCAATGAGGGGTTCAGTGTCTTGCCCAGGGACACTTCACCATCCATTATCTTTACCCGCTTCTTCCTTTTCGGGTCACGAGGATCACTGGTGCCCATATCCAGCCATCACTGTGGGAGAGGTGGGGGACACCCTGAACAGGTTTCCAGTCTGTCTCAAGGACACAGAGACAAACAAGACAACCATTCTCTCTAGGGACAATTTACAGTTATCAATCAGACTAACATGCATGTTTTTGGTCTGTGGGAGGAAACCGGAGTACCTGGAGAAAACCCACGCATGCACGGAGAGAACATGCAAACTCCACCCAGAAAGGTCCTCTGCTGGGATTTGAGCTGGCAACCTTCTGACTGAGCGGCAACAGCTCTACCAACTGTGTTGTCCCACACTTCAGCATGTAACTGGTTAATGGTGGAATCGAACCCCTGACTCTTTAACCTCTCAGCCACCCCTGATTGTGTGTGCGCGCTAGATACATTTTCTTTTGTTTTTCAGATTTATAAATCAGCTTTTTATTCAAAATGTTGCAGAGGTGGGACAGAATGCTACATTAGCTAATAAGGAACCTTTATACTTTGTCACGACACAGTTTGTTTAGTTTGACAATATTTTCTCAACTGAAAAAAAAAAATCCATGTTACCTTTCAAATGTGTCTCCTGAGGCCGCAGGGCGAGTCAGTCTGCCAGGAGTTGAGCAAACTTTTGGTCTCAGGGTCACTGAACAGTGAACTAATCTTTCTTGCAATATTATAGACACACACACACACACACACACACACACACACGTAACTATATTTGAGTTTATTTTATAAGCCTTAGAAACAATATTGTTAAAGACAATGGCTGGCTGCGGGTCACCAGACCTGAAAAAACCCCTCCAGCCCATGTCTTCCCCCCCGGCTCGAATCTTCCTCAGAAGTGGCAACTCTCATTATCAATAAATCAAGGAAACGTCAATTAAGTTTTATCAATTGTATTAAAATCAACGCAGGAAAAGGTTCCAGTTTGTAGCACTGGCCTCTCCGGTCTGTGATGTGTTCACAAACCCGGAAGAAGAGCCCCGATGTCCCGTGTCATTACTCATTTATAGGGTCCTGGACTCCTCCTTCTCAGAAGGAGAGTTCAACCTGTCAGTGTATGGGGGGCGTGACTAAGTGTGATCTCAATGGATCTTATGTGGTTCTGATGTGTTAGGAAATATGAGACGGTGCTTCAAAAAAATCTTTCTACGTGATGTGGCAAGAAGATTAAACTCTATTCCGTGACAGATATTGAATCCCAGGGAGACTCTTTTTAGAGTTGCTGGCCCAGTTTAACCCAGTCAGAACCGGGTCATAATTTCATTATAATCCCGTCTCTGAGCAGATCAAAACCATAGGACCAATCTAAAAATATCAAACAATATAAAAGAAGCTTTGGGTAGCTATTAGCTTATCTTGAAGGTCTTTTTCTTCCATATTTCATGCTCTAGGGCTGATGGGTACTAACTTCTAATAACTCTGAGAAAAAAAAAATCTGTTTAAAAATCACCAAACTATCCCTTTAAGCCTAATGATGGCTTTAGCAACACAGAGTTTGAAAGAATAAGATGGACATTACAGCCAATTTATTTGGAATACTTAGTTTTCGAGAAAACACAAAACACTCAGTAGTTTCATAATATACGCTGGTTAGAGGGTTTACCAGCAGTTAGTGGCTGATAGAGACCAGTTGAAGTAAAATCCTGTCAGTTCAGACCTGGGTCATGACTCACTGCATGAACAACGCTCTGCTGTGGTTTATTATTGTCAGGAACTGCAGTGAAGAGGCTGAGCCGTGTTCTTCCAGATAATCCCTCTCTCATTGTGTTTACAGAGGGCGACAATGCTGCTTATTCTCTGAACGTTCAGTCTCTTTGTGTCCTGTACATGGAGGCACGGCCTCTTTGCACCTAATCACAACCTGGAGGCAGACTGATAGAAAAACTAAACCTTGTTACTCACGCTATCAAAGCACAATTAGAAACCGTTTTGCCTAAATTAACTCAACATGTAGAACCTAGAATTAGTTCAAATTAGGGATGCACAATATTACATTTTTGGCCGATAACCGACACTTTATATACGTTCTTTTGTCAGAACATATTCCTCTTATTTAGGCTTATTTGCTACAAAAATTGTGCAACAGCTGTAAGAGCTGGTGACATATATTCAATAACAGCCATATGATACGTATAGCACTTTAACTTATGTTAAATGAAAAGTGTTATTTATTAGCATTAGTCACCTGTGATGTTGTCTCACTTGTGGAGGCTTGTTCCAGGTTCCTATAGCTGCAGTGTGGGATCCTCTGCACTCTTGTGCATGAAGGACAGACTTTTTAAGATCAAAGTTTTTGTCTATCCATTGTGTTGTAAGATTAATCATGCTAACAAAGCTAACACCACGTCCAAATGTTTGTTGTAAAACTCACCCAACAAGTCATGCTATCGGCTATGAGCTTCTCGACGACGTTGGAAATGACAGTTTGTAACTCGGGTAAGGCTACGTCGGAAAAATATCTCTGACTGGGGACGATATATATATATATATATAGCGAGGCTCAACGTAGTCCAGAAATCTTCAGAATCTGACATCCTCACCAACGGAAAATAAAACTTCCACACCGTCAGCATTTTGAATTTTCCTCTCCTCCGTGAGATCAGGTAGGTGCACGTGACGTCATCACGTTGTGCTGCAGGCAAAAACAGCACCTTTTATATCAGCAAGTTATTTTAATGGAATGGCCGATATTGAACTTTAACGCTAATATCGGCCGATGCTGATACCATGCTGATAATATCGTGCATCCTTAGTTCAAATGGTTAATTTTTCAAAGAAAACGGCAGAAAATCAAAAACAAACCTTTTTAGGAACAGACAGCAGTTGTTAATCAGAACGTTTCGGAAAAACTATTTAAATTTAAAAAAAGGGAAGTTTAAATCCAGCTGAAGGCAGCTGATTAAATGAATGTTGGCGTGATCAGAACAGAAAGTTGAGGCAAACTGAGGTCAGAAGAATAACATGAGCAGCCCTTGGTGGGTGAAGAGAGAAAAATATGCAAACTCAACTCTGATTTGGTGAAACCGAGGTTTGAGCTCGTTTATCCTGATGCATGCTTGTACGTTTCTTGTTGTGAGGTTAGCGACAGCCACAGGACCGTTGTGTTAAGATCTGGTGGCGGTCAAACCCAAAGTGCAGACTGAACTCGGAGGACTCAGGTTTAAAGCAAAAGTTTTTTAATAGAAATAAACAAAATGGCTGACATGGCAGCAACAACTTACATGATCAATGGGAGGACAATTGGGGCGGCTGTGGCTGAGTGGTAAGAGCAGTCGTCCTCCAATGTGAGAGTTGGGGATTCGAATCCACCAGCAGTCACATGCTGAAGTGTCCCTGGGCAAGACACTGAACCCCTCATAGCCTCTGATGTGTGTTCCATCAGTGTATGAATGTGATAAAGCTCTGATTAGACTCTTTAGAATGATTTGTTCAATTAACTTTGTAGAGATCTAGTAGAGTGCTGTATGAATGGGTAAATGAGGACACATACTGTAATGTAAAGGCTTTGAGTGTCTTGAAATAAGACAAAAAGGTGCTATATAAGTACAGTCCATTTACATGAAGGGAGCCAAAACCAGGACGTTGTGCAGAATAGGAACAAGGAGCCAGAACCAAACAATGAAGAACAGGAGATGCAGATTTATATACACACACTAATGACAGACAATGACAAACAGCTGGGAAAGACATCAGGTGAGAGGCAGGAGCTGATCACATGAGGGAGAACAATAGCTAGGAACGACCACAAGGGGGAGCCACTCATTAAGGAAACAATCCTCACAGTGCCTGTGATGGACTTGAAACCTGTCCAGAGTGTACCCCGCCCCTCCACAGTGAATGCTGGACATGGGTACTGGTGACCCCCGCATGACCCAAAATGGAATAAGTGGGTAAAGATAATGAATGAATGAATGGATGGATGGATGGATGGATGGATGGATGGATGGATGGATGGATGGACCCAAACTATGCCAACAAAATCAAGTAGGTATCTCTGCAGACAAATATGGAAGGCGTTACTCGAGGGCCACATCTGATTGGACGAAAAAAGATATTGGCAGTGTCTCCGGTTTGACAATGTGAGAAAAAAACAACAACAAGGCGTTATTGGCAGATTGTGTTAACCAAAGACATATTGTGTCTATGGTGTTAACCGGTTTGACATTAGCAGCGTCTCCATAACTTCTTTTCCTTCTCTCTCAACACAGAACTTCAGGTTACATTTCAAAATAAGAGCAACATAACTGGGTAGTGGGGAGGGCTAAATGTTTGATTTTAATACCTAGCCATAGCATTAAAAAACAAAAGCTGTTTTGGTTGTTGAATAATGTGAAAATAGTTACAATCGATTCATAAAGAAAGAAAAATAAAGTAACCAAAATAATTATGATACTTAAAGTGGCTTTGGGACAAAGGATGTTTCCTTTAACTTCACATTTTCTTGTTCAACTTTTAAATCAGTCGCTGCAGATGAGTGATTGTCAGTTTCTGTCAGATTTCTGCAACTGGAGCAGGTATTTCTGTTTACTGGTTAACTTCCTCAGCTGTCTCACATTTTAAGGGTCAGTCCTACTCCATGTTTCAGCTCCTTTCATAGATCAGATTCATAGAAGAACTTCTAAAGAGAACATTTTGTTTTTAGCTTTTGTTTTGGGCTGTTATCTCATTACAGGACTCATGATCTTTAATTGAGACCAGACTTTTTGACTAATGGAGCAGGTTTCGCTTCAGATGCTTCATATTTCATTGTACCCAGACCACACTCAAGCCAACCTGTGTCAGGTGCAGCCTACAACCAAGAACAAAAGAGAATCTTCTTGTGTTTGACATTAGATATAACGCTGTTTCTTAGAAACCTTCAATTTAAAAAAACAGCTGACGTACCTTACCCAAAGAGCCAACAAGTACAGCTAGCCCATCAGTGTTTGTCCTCTACAAACGCCTATTCTCCAGAAACGCTCACTTTTGGTCTACAGAGAACCCCTTCTCAACAAAATGCTGCTCCCAACATTTGATTTCTAGGATTTTCACAACCCTGTAGACAAGTGGTCGTTCTAACGTGCATCACTTGTTCCATCCAGTTACTTCTACTTGAAACAGACAACTGTCACTAATTACAGATGCTCTCCAGCTGTTCTATTGAGTTTATTTCATGCACTAAATGTCCAGAAAGTCCTGTTTTGTGTGCAGCAACTGTTGCCAGTTTGATCAGTTCCTGACAAAGACTAGTTCTCATGTTGGCGACTCAAAATTGAGAGAAAGAGACAAATTTCAAGTTTTCTCACTGAATTCTGAACGTTTGCGATCAAGCCAAAGTGTCCGGATTCACTCTGCATTGTCAGAGATCCGTGTGTGACTGCACTTTGGGCAGCAAATTTTTGAACCTCTTTAATATTTTTGTGTGCACAGCTTGCACAAATGCATTTTAGACCAGGAACATCCTTTCATTGCCTACACTGTACCCGCCTTGGCTCGCTTTGTATGCAACCTTGACAGCCGTCCTCACGTTTATGATTAAATTTCATAAGTTTCACATTTGAAATGAAGGCGGGCAGCTTTAGACTGAGACAGAGGGACATTAGTCAAAGTGGACTTTGGTTTTGTAGTGTTAGACCAGTTATGCTGGAATGTTGTTGCTGATGACTGGAACTCATCAGCAGTTTTCAGATGTGGACATTCAATATAGAGATGTACCGATCCAATACAGATATCAATATCGGTACAGATATCGAAAAACCTTCTGGATCGGGTATCGGTGACAATATGACCGATCCATGACTGGGCAGGTCTATACACTCTAACTCTATGCTTTGTGCTCTGAGTAACGTCATGCTCTAGTGACCTGACTGAACAAATTAAAGTTGTCTTGTTTTTACGTTTGTGAAGCTCTTGGTGTGTTTGTGTGCTGCTCTGGTGCAGAGTTTTCAATAAATTTGTAATTCAGTACATTCATGTCTACGTTTAACAAAACAAATGTTTTAAGTTAATTCAGCATCAGGTTTGTAAGCTCAAACATCCAGGTAGACAACAAAAATGGCTAAATCATGTTATCTGGACCTGTTTCAGAAATGGGTCCAGATGACATGATTTAGCCATTTTTGTTAATTCAGCACTGTTTTTCTGTATCAGATCGGTATCGAATCGGTATTGACGACACGGAACAGTTGATATCTGTATCGGATCGGAAGTGAAAAAAGTGGATTGTGCATCCCTAATTCAATATAATACAACCTCATGTATAAAGCACTTTAAAAGATAAATTAAGATAAATTCAAAATGTCCACAACAACAGTAGGAAGGGTTCGGCATGGGTTTGAGATACCAGTGACAACTCTGCAACTATTTAAGAGAAAACTTCTTACATTTTTGAAGATTCAGGCAAAAACACTTGATGTGATAAGCCTGCTGTGAACGTTTCAAGACATTTTGTAGACTTTCTTGCAAATGCTGTTTGCAAATTAATTTGATACGGTCTTTGATTACATTAATCCATAAATATTAATATGTGCAGTATGGACCATAATTTAGTTTTTCACCCACAGCTCACCTGGTGGAACGAACATCACTAAAAACTCACTTTATGCTAACCCATTATCCTCAGAAAGAACAGGTGTTCTTTTCAAAAAGACAAACCACTCCTCTAAAACTTCTGCAACGAACAGTTTTATAAGGACGTAATCTGATTAAACTACATTAACATTGTTGTTTCTGTTTTATTTCTTCAGTTCTTTATCATAGTCCTGCTGGTCTTCATCGCAGAGGTTGCAGGAGCTGTGGTCATTCTGGTCTTCAAACCTGTGGTGAGTTACTGAAGAGCTCCTTCAAATGCAGGACATTTACAACCATCAGTTGTAATAACACAGTGTATCTTTTTATGCATTTGTCAGGCAGATAAACTGTTCATGGACGTTGGCAAAGCAGCAGTGGGAAATATCAAAACGGACTACGGCAAAAATCCTGACATTACCGGACTCTGGAGTAATACGATGGACACGGTACAAAAAACTAACTTTGGAACTAATGTGGAATTCTGTCTAAAGCCACTTCCGCAAAGATTTCTGTGAAATGCGTTCTCTTTGCAGTTACAATGTTGCGGCTTCTACAACTTCACCGACTTTGAGAACTCTCCGTACTACACGAGTCACAACTCGTCGTACCCACCCCAGTGCTGCCGAACCACAAACCCCCCGTGTAACCAAACCGTGGCTCTGAGTCAAGTACGTACTTTTTAATGGAAAACAGCATCCACACACACAATCCAATAATAATTCTACTTCTGTATTTTACATTTTTATTAGATGATTAACGGGTGCTTTCCAAAAATCAAGAAACTGATTGATGACAACACAGTCGTGATTATTGGAGTGGCCCTTGGGATTGCAGCTCTGGAGGTACCTTTACTTGGCTAAACTCATTGAATTAGCTGTTTTAAGGTCTAAAACATATTTAGCTAATGTATTTTTCTTTCAGATATGCGCCATGGTTGTCTCGATGATACTGTACTGCAGAATAAAGTCCACAACGGCCTAACTCCACTCAGTAAAGGCCTCAGGAGAGTTATGTTAATCACTGAAGGTCTCTACTTCCCACCTTCTGCTGCCTTGTCATAAAAGACAGGAGACTTGTGCAATCAGCAACTACTGAGTAACTTTTTGAAAACTGTTTCAGTCTATTTACTAGGTTCAATGAATGTAAAGTTTATATTTCTTTATAAAATCATCTATACACTAGTCCTTCGACGTATCAAAGAGTGCTTAAACTTTTAACATACGGTCAGTTTAAGGAGGAATGAAGCTGCTTCAGTGATAATGAAACAAAGACTGACATTTTGTTTGTATGTGGTACTGTAGGTTGTAAAACTGTGGTAAAATATTAGTTTGTTGGCTTGTTAAAGTTTGATGTAAAGTGATTTAAGCTGCTTCTCTACCGACGTGACTTTAATCAGACTCAGCATCGGCCAGTTGTGTCTCCATTCCCTGACCCTGCTCGGCTTTTGGACCCGCCTCAGCCGAGGTTCCAAGCGAGCCAAGTAAATGATCTGACGTCGTCAAACCGCTGCCGTTGATTGTAGAGCTGGTAAATCCGGTTCACTTTACGAACTCGGGTTAATCTGAGTCACTCGCTAAAAGGACTCAGTTCTCTTGAGTCGTTCAAGAAAACTGTTTTATAGAACAGTCAAGCGGTCAAATGTATTTTCTCTTATCATTAGTATTTTACTTGTCATGATGACAGGTCAGGCATAGCCTCACTTGCCTCCCCTGACTGCACGTCACTGATTTAACTTATTATGTCCTACTAATCCCATGTACCTTGGAGAAATAAAAATGGACACCAAACAAAAGCTTGGCAGCAAATCTAGCTATTTTTTCCAGTGTGTTTAGATACTTTTGTAGAGTTCTCAAGGCTGCACATGAAGGCACTATGGGGCCGAGATGGGGTAGAGGTAGGGCATCTGACTTGGGACCAGAAAGTTGCGGTTAGACTCCCCGTCATGCCCGCATGTCGTGGTGTCTCTGAGCAAGACACCCAATCCCTAATTGCTCCCCTGGGTGCTTACATATTTGCCCACTGCTCCACCTGGGTGTATCTCAGGTGTGATGGGTTAAATGCAGAGAGTTAATTTTGTCTTTGTATGGGAACATACAATGATGACAACACAAAGCACTTACTTACCAATCATTCAGTAGCTATGTTTACATGCGCAGAATTCTCTGACCGGATTGAAATGTGTTCTGTTTGAATAATTCAAATGTGTTGTTTACATGGGCACAATCTGTTCATGACGAGCGTTTACATGCAGCGGGCTTTGTTCTGAACAGCAGTACTGACATGCGCAGAGTGGTAAACTCTCCTTAAAAAAAACACCGAAAAAGAAGTTCTACTTCCGGGTGAACGTGAACAAATCTGAGCACCCAAAATGGACCCGCGACAGGTTTTAATGATGGTGGAGACGTTACTGCACTCCCTGACTGAGCTACAGGTAATACAGATCATTTTGAGCTCTTTCAAAGTTTCTAGTAGAAATGTTGTGTCGCTCACCGACCAGTTTTGCTCCCCTGACATGCTAATATTATTAGCGTTAGCCAGGCGGAAATGGCAAAGTCGCACATGCGCAGTCAGATCAGTTTTTTACGATCAGATAAAAACGAACAGATCAAGCGTTTACATGCGCACCGATCGGGTTACGGATTGGCGTAAACCACCCGTTTCGTTCTGATCACAAATTATATCGGATCGCATAGAATACACAAAAAATAACCCGAACGGAGTGTTTACATGACACACTTTTATTCCGACCGGCCATTTGATCCGGTTACTTATGTCCATGTAAACATACCCAGTGACTACTGTCCTCAGCGAGTTCTGCCATAAGCCCCGCCCCCTCCCAAAGCTCCAATAAACAATCTCGCCCACAGAGTGGAGACACACCTACACCTGAGACAACTGACTAGAACTAAGATCAGAATTGTACTTAACAATGGAGAAGCTGCTTTATATTGCAACAGAGACAATATGTCCAAATAAAATGTTTCTTTGGGTCCAGTCATGCTCTTAAAAGAGTTCAATATATTTGTACTGTTTTTGAAAATGTTTGAAAATAAAAAAAGCAACAAAGTGCCATTAAAAATCATTTACAAATCAATGTTTCCTTTATTATCACATGGACTGTGCTTTTCAATTGTACCTGGAAATCGGAGTTTCTGATTTCTAAGTCAGACAAACAAACATAAAATCAAATATATTACTTGGAAACTCAGATATTTCTAATTAACATACACCTCACTATTCATTATTGCTGCCTCCCACATAATTGCTGATAGCTCCAGTAACAATCTTTCATTTCCATTTCATTTTTCCATCATGTTCTGTGAAGTTTCTTGAACCCAGGTGCAGACATGGGGAACTCGAGAGTAAAAATAAAGAAAAAGTGTTTCTTTCGGCTGCTCCTTTTTTCATGGGTCGCCACAGTGAGCAAACTCACACAAAAGATTTGGCTTTTTTTTTAAACAACCAGACCAAACTAAATCAGTGGCTACAACAACTGAGTTTAAACACGGACCCAAAACAAAAAGATGTTCCTGTGAAAAGAGGTATAGTTTCCATCTCCTACCTACAGATGAGGAATTAAGAAGAATGTGGATGGAAAATGTGAACTTGAAGACACCACCCAAAGTGCAGTATGTGTGCTATTTTCTATGTAATTAACCCAGGCTGGGTGATAGAGGTCTTTAAGGTTTTGACTGGGCTCTGTGTCTGCTGTCCTACTTCTTTTAACAAAACGCGACCGACCTTATTACTGTAGATGCTAATACGCCTCGGAGCTTTTCAGGTTGCTCACCGTCAGAAGCAACTGAGTCAATGAAGTAGCTAAATATGCTAGTATATGTAATCTTCGGCCACTTCTTCGGGTCGTCCTCCATCCCTCGTCTGCAGCAGTCAGGGTATGATTTTATCGTCCTGTTTGAGCTCTGACAGCTGGTGTTCCTACATGTTTCAATTAAATCCATAACGCTCGGAGAAACTACATTAGCTCGTACTTCGCGCACATGAACTTATGCTAGTTAGTTAAGAACATTCTGATCAGATTAAAGAGTCCTTGTTAGCTTCTTGCTTGTATGTGTTAAAATGTTGTTTTTTCAAACTTATTTTCACTTTAGGCACGTTGGTTTCTTTTTCATAATAATTAAAGAGCAAATATTTACACTTTATTTTAAAATGCCTCACACAAGCCTTATATGTGAACATTTGTTTTTCTTGTTCAAAAGTCCTCTGATAGCTGCACTGAAAGAATAAATTCAATCCCCTTTGAACATTAATGACCCTCTGCTTCAGCTGATGAAAACTTACAGTGACAGTGTCAGTGGATGTATTGTTCAATCATCATTTCACGGCTGTAGCTCCATAACTCCATGAGTGTTTCCTCCGCAGGTGAAGGGAGAAAATGTGTGCGAGCTGATGTGACTGTGAATTCAGCAGCATGGATCATTGTCAGGACAAAGACGAGGATATTTCTCCCTCTAAAACCGCAAAACCCACCAGCAAAACTCAGAGGTGAGATGGCCTTCCATGATTCTTTTTTGTGTCAAAGCTCAGCCCTAAAACTCTCTTTATTCGCAGGAATCAACCTGGAACTGCACCTGCACCCAGCTGTGTGTCCTATCAGAGTGATAATTCAAAGAGTTTTGATATTAACTTTAAATCAGACCAGAGTTCTTCTGCTAAGAGGTCAGTTTTATGTAAATATTGTTTGTCTAGACTCTAAAGGGTCTTCTTCATACCAGCACTCAGCACTGAAACTGTTTTTAATTACAGGAATCAACCTGCACCCAGCTGTGTGTCCTATCAGAGTGATAATTCAAAGAGTTTTGATATTAACTTTAAATCAGACCAGAGTTCGTCTGCTAAGAGGTCAGTTTTATGTAAATATTTTACTTGTATAAAATGTAACCCAGTCAGTTTGAAACTTGAACTTGTGTTTAATGTGAGCACAGCTTTATTTTACATTGATTTCTATGTTCATACATGTGAAATGGTCAGCTACGACTTTTGGACTTTTTGTTAAAGAACAACTAAACACACAGTTAGTTAGAAGTTTATGTCCACTCATCAAAGCTAGGAGTATCATATTAATTTTGGGCTTTTAATTATTTTATACCTTTCTTTTAGGAAATTATTTACGATTATCTATATATTTAGAACAACACAGAACTTCAATTATGACTAAAACAAGAACTTGATGTACAGGTTTAAAAATGCTTTAAAATTTTCTCCAATGCTCACAGGGTTAAAATTAAGTAATCATCCATCCATTCATCCATCAGTTTTATTTAGGAGCCATTGACAATATTCAACATTTTCACACACTTACAGTACGTGTGCTTTTTGGAGACCCCACTTGCCCTTCTAAAGGTGTACAGGAGAACGTTGACTTTAACTAAGCTATTCTCTGCCATTCTATGTTAAGTTAGCATCACAATGTGGTCGCTTTTGTGCAACATCATGCTTAATTAAAGGTACACTTTTACCTACTAACAGTAAGTGCTTTCCCCCCTTATACAGTACATGCTGTGAACAATCTCAAACTCATGGTGTCAGTTTATAGCCAATAACAAAGATTTCAACATAATGCTAAACCAAGCCTGAATAGAACATTAACAAGAATAATCCATTTCCACTCAGAAACATCGTAAACAATCAGAAACATTGCACACATAATTGCCACAAGTCTACCCAGCATCCTTTGCAGCACACACTCTCTTTGGGGCACGACAATGGAGCCTGACTGCAGATGGGTTAATGATCTTAATAATGGGGAATGGACCCATGAACATGAGGACCAGCTTTCTAGGGATGTCCTTGATGTCAACATCACATTTGGAGAGCCATACCCTCTTGCCTACTTGATAACATGGAGCCGTGGATTGATGTCTACCAGCAAGTTTCTTATCACTGTATGTGCAGCCTCTTTAGTTTGTTGCCAGATTCTTCTGCAGCGATGGAGGTGATGCTACACAAAAGGGAAGGACACATCAGACTCCTGGCTGGTCAATAAAGGTGGTGAGTGCCCAAGAGAAGCTTCAAATGAAGACAGTCCATTGGCAGATTAGTTGAGTGTGTTGTGGGTATACTCAATCCAAGTTAAGTAATTCTCCAGGAGGAGGGGTTGTTGATGAAATGCACCTTAATGCTGCCCCCAACTCCTGGTTGCATTGTTAGCTTTGTCCATTGGACTGAGGATGGTAGCCCAAAGTCAAGCTGGAGGAGGCCCCCAATACACTGCAGAACACTTTCCAGATCACAGAAATGAATTGAGGGTTTTGATCCAATACAATATCCACTGGAATGCCATGGATCTGGAAAAAATGATCTGTCAGGAGTTGAGCTGTCTCGAAAGAGGTGGGGAGTTTGGAGAGAGGAACAAAGTGGTCTGTTTTAGAAAATCTATCTATTACAGTGAGAATGACTGTGTTACCATGCAAGGGTGCTTGATGTGTAATGAAGTCCTGAGCAATGTGCAGCCATGGACGACCAGGAGTAGGCAGAGGCTGAAGGAGTCCTGCTGTGGGTTGGTTCCCACTCTTATTCTAGGAACAGATAGGGCATGCTGAAACAAGCTCTTTTATATCACGACACGGAGAGAGACACCTAAAATGCAATGTAATAAAGGATAGCATACTGTATGTCAGGAGACAGAATCAGAATCAGAAAAAAATTTATTGGCATTGCACCAAGATACAACGCGAATATGTACATACAGTCGTCTGAAGATGGGCGGAGTGCACAAAGCTGCGGCTATAAATAATTAGCGCGGCCTTCTTATTCTTATTCAGAATAATATTTTGCTTAGATAAGAAAAAGAAAGAAAACATGAGGAGAGACAGTATAAAAAAAAAAGATCTTTCACACCGTGTCCTAGACAGGGCACGATTTGAGGCATCAAAAAAACCTACCACAGCAAAGCAACATAAACAGATGTGGCTGTCTGAAGATGAGAACTGTCAAAAGAGAGTATCATGTTTTATGTTTCTAGAACCAGGTCTGTAGTTTATGGAAAAGATGAATCTTGCAAAAGACAGTGACCAAAGTGTTTGTCTCGAGTTTAAGCTCTGACCATTTTGAATGTAAAATAAGATAAGATAAGATAAGATAAGACAAGATAAGATAAGATAAGATAAGATAAGACAAGATAAGATAAGATAAGATAAAATAAGATAAGACAAGATAAGATAGAACTTTATTGATCCAGCAGGAAATTGTTGTGCCAGAGTTGCAGTACAAAGGAACATACACAAGATATAAAAAAAAAAAATAGAGAATATAAAAATGCCAGCAATTAAGTTCTCTTCTCCATCCAATTAATGCTAGGCTGATGATTTTAAAGCCAAATGAAGTGAGACAACAGGGAATCAAAAACAAAAAACTCACCCTCTTCACGTGATTTCCAGAAATTACAAAGTGAAACTTTCATTCTCTGAAATATGGTGGTGAGGGTTTTTCCTGTAAGAGCAACCACAAAAATAGTTTGGGTTAGTTTCTGCATCACAAAATCACTACTAATCAGATTTTGTTCTGCACCAGTGTCTACCAGGGCTAAAACAGGGAGATTAATCTGATTAATAAGAAAAGTGGGAAGAACAAACCTAGAGCCAGGAGAAACAGATGAGCAGCCCACCAGAATTTCCTGGTTTACAGGTGGGAATTGTTTTTTACTGGCGTCAAGCAGTTGGTGATAAAATGTCAGCTTTTACTGCAATAAATGCATCCTCTAGTTCTTGTATGATCTTGTCTTTCCTCCGGAGTCAAGGCAGGTGCATCCACTCTGCAGTGGTTTGGGTTCTAGTTCTGGCATGGTCATTTGCGGTGTCTTCAAACTCAGCAAATCAGGAAGTGTTCATAACCCAGAAATATTGTTGGCATGTGACTTGTATTTCTTCTCCCTTTGTCTCACACAGAGCTACAAGTAGGTTGTTCAAGTCATCCAGGTCTTGGAATTCCTCTCAGGTCACAAGTCTGCCTTTAACCTGTTCAGAGAGGGAATTAAAGAAAATACTTTGTCAGGGCCGGTGCTAGGCATGGTTACATGAGGGGGCATCTTCATCCGTACACATCATGCTCCAGCATATTCATTGTTATTGTTGACTTGTGCTGTCTTCACGGGATTGGGGTAATAGCTAAAAGCTGAAATTTTCCAAAAATTTAGATTCAGAATGTCGACAATGGAAAGATGTATTTAATTTAAAGGTGTCAGTTTATGGGACAATCTTGACAGTGAGATAAAACTATCTAAATTTTTTTCCTGCATTTAAAATAAATTTGAAAATCCTTATGATGAAGCGATATGGCATTGATTAAGCTGATGTTTTGTTGTGTATTTTTTTTGGGGGGGGGGGGTTCTGTATTTTTTTGTGTATTTGAATTATGTCTGTAATAGTCTTCTGAGCTGAATAGCTAATTTTCTTTTAATGTGAATGGGGCAGATATAAGTTTATACTTCTTTCTGATCCTTTTCATTCATGATTTCTTTTAATTGTTACATTTGAACTATTCATATTTATTATTGAGCAAATAGTAAATGGACTGTACTTATATAGCACCTTTCTATCTTATCAAGATACTCAAAGCGCTTTACACTACAATCTGCGCCTCATTTACCCTTTCATACAGCTCTATACTAGATCTCTACAAAGCTAATTGAACAAATCATTCTAAAGAGACTAATCAGAGCTTTATCACATTCATACACTGATGGGACACACATCGGAGGCAATGAGTGGTTCAGTGTCTTGCCCAGGAACATTTCAGCATGTGATTGTCACTGCTGGTGGATTCGAACCCTCAACTCTTGCATTGGAGAAGGACTGCTCTAACCACTCAGCCACAGCCGCCCCAAGTGAATGAAATGAAATATTAAATGAAAATGAAATTAAATAAACTGTGTCCAACTCGACAAAAATGAATTGTGCTTTGTCAGGCCTCTACTCCAAGACCTGCCCAGCTTGAGTGTCCCACCTGAAGCAAAGCTCCTGCTGGTTCTTAAGGCCACTGAGGCACGCAAACCCCCTGACCACAAGGTGGCAATCCCTCAGGGGGAGAACAGAAAATAATAATAAATAATAAGAAGGAAAATTAAGATATTCTTCATCCAAGATTGAACAACCAACAACATTTATCTTACTGGATGGCCATTATGTATCTTAAACTAATTTGAACCTAATAACAATAACCACAGAAATGTGAAATTAAAACACTCAACATGCTCTCAAACTGGATTAACAAACAGTATAGAAAAACAGAACTTTTTTTTGTTAGCAAAGTCAGGAAAAAGTTTTAATAAAAAATAATAATAAAAAAATAGCGAGGGAGAAGTCAGTTATGATAGCTTGACTCTTTTTTGAGCACAAAAAAGAAACCGTCCAGATGACTTGACTGAACATTGTTAGATTTTATAACTGTATTACTGAGCACTTTGAAAAAAGGTGACCCACACACCAACTCTAACATATTATAAAGCAGCTGTATTAATAGTCGCAAAATAAACATCAAGCCTGATAATATACTGTATCGGACTGAATGTTCTGTATGATGTGTGGGAAATGTTTGCGTGTTTTTTGGTGTTGAATCCTGATACATTAGTGGCGCAACGTTGTTGTCAATCAGTTGCTATGGCAACGAGTCTGTGTAGTGTAGCTGACACAGAGATGGTTGAACGTGAGCTTTGACGAATACGAGTGGTTTTGAGTTGTTCTTCAATGGTTTTTCTGCATTATTTTTCTCTTTGCTGTGGCACACTGCACTAAATTAATAATACCTACATCTCCAGGTTTCATTTTCTTAATGTTTTACCTCGGCAGCACGTCTATGTAAAAGAATTGTCTTTTTGCCATTCATTCCAGCGTCGTAATTCCGGA